TGTCCTAAAATTTGGACGGAATGTTATTTATGTATTGATCATCTGTCTTCAACACCTACTCTTTTATTTTCAATTCACGGGGTAGATAGCGTATTCAACACACTCTACCCGTGCAACGACGATAGATTTTTCGTTAACATTTTTACATGTAAAAAATGTAATTAAAATTCTTTCTGGTATTTTCCACTTACTATCTTTTTAAATGCATTAACCTGCTGGCATACACATTTACATAAATTAGAATTGAACAAACCAGACGCGCTAGTGTGAAAAGAATGTTTTAGTTTAAGCAACCCGCTAGTAGATGTGCCCAGTCTCTGAATACTTTCAAAATGACAGTGGTTTGTTATTTTATTGAAAAATTATTCAAAACTGTAGACATATTTTAAAAATAAATGGCTTCAGTGGAAGACCTTTCAACAACATTCTGGTATTGTTTACCTTTTTTATATAATTAAAAAAAAAAGACTTATGATGAAATCAGGGAGCTCCCACAGAATCTCGCTGCAGTTATTACGATACTGAACTAGACCTTACAACCAGATGGGTTGGGCCCCGACAAATCGGAAGCGATTTCGCTTTCTTTACCGGGTACTTTTCCAGTCACAATCTTGAAGTTTTATCGTATATTATAATGATTTATCGAAAAATAGAAAGCACCAAACGAGTTTAATGCTTCTTTTTGAATCGTCTCGCGACAAAATATAACATAATTTTATTACAGACAACGCATAATTAAAGTGAACGCGAATTTCGTTAAAAAAACTTTTCTCTCTCTAACAGATAAAAAATATATATAGTATTACTGGTTGCATATAGAAATTTGGTAATATTTTAGAGCTCTGGCTAATAATAATTTGTGAAATACTGGAACTGATAGTGACATTTAGTTCTGTTGAATTCTGTAGTCATTTGGGTCGCAAAAATACACATATTTATTCTATCCTTAAGCTAAATGTAATGGAAGGAAAGGTGTAAGGTACCTATGCGAAAATTCTCATGTCGCACCAGTAGCAACTACTTGTCTTTTATCCCTGTCAGCACCTCTGATTTACTCCTCGTCCACAGCAGCTGCATCAGATAACATTCGAAGTTTATAGAAGCCTCAACTCTGATTGGTTAATTCAATATTTCCGATGACTAAATTAAAACGGTACATGATATCGACTGCACAGACTTGAGCAATTAAGCAATAAAAAGCATTAGTTTTTTGAATGCACAAAATGCTGCAATTTATGTCAAGAAAAGGCCATTGATATTATCTGTTCAAGTGAAATTTGTCAAAGCAAACACATACTTATTTTGTAAACAACAAAGAAAATCGAGGATATAAGATTTATTTTAGGCTTTATTTCTTTGTTTATATTTTGTTGAAAAATGTGTTTCAATACAGAAGAAATTGCTTATATTTTGCGCGTATGTTTAAAAAAATGCCAAATAAATTTGTTACACTCTTCTTGTGACTTTATAAAAATGTTTTATATGTTTCCTTCTTAATTCAACAAAACTATATTACGTACTTAAGAATAAAAAAAAAATCACTGTATAAGTAATATGTACAAGTGACGGTTAGGAAATACAAAAAATTGGTCTTATGTTATTAGGCATAACTGTCCTAGCCTCTGACGTACAATTAAACAAATCCAATATTTGAGAAATAAAATGTAATTAATGCCAGTTACAGTGTAACAAAAAATAAAATTACATATTATGTAAACTCGCAACCTTCACGTTATTAGCATAACGTTCTATTCAACTGAACTATATTGCCAATTCTTTGCGTTCCTCTTATATTAGTATAAAATATTATTATACAGTTTTGCGAAAATGTGAATTCCTAAAGTATAAAATTAGGTGGATTCATAAACCACAAATGCAGGAATAGATATGTTATTTTATGAAATTTGAATAGCATGTATCACGCAAAATGATCGGTATATATTACGCCGATTGATAATATGCATAACATTTTTTGAAGTGTTCGAACTTGCTTTACGTGGACATGACGAAGTCTGATTAAGTTTGCGGCTGAATTGGACTCTGCCTATCAGATCATTTCAAAGAATCAACGGCTTTTAAAGGAACGTCTAAAACTGTCCAAAATGAACTTTTAGATGCCATCAACGTAAAATTTTGACCGAAGGCAAAAAGGTATGTGGACAAATACATTTTTGCTTTTATTGACTGTAAGTATTTTTGTATTTATTTCCGTCACACAATTTCGTCTATTAATTGGTAATAAAAACCTGTTTTATATCTTCATATTTAACTCAACAATCAAATTGTGTCCTCCCATTTCAAAACGTCACGAACCGCCACTGGTTCTTAATAGTCTAATTCTTCCGATGTATAAACATAAAAAGTGGAAGTTAATCATCTATTGATAATATCATTTTTCTCATTGATTATCTGCTTTAAATATAGCTACTATTATCCATACCTATGGAGACTCCGCCCTCTGCGTCTCCCCCCGTAGCACAGAAATTGTGAGGGTATTATTTAACCCACTAATTTTAGTTTAGTTCCAATATATGTATTAACATACATTCAAATATGCTAATTTACCCTAAGTCTTTCGGGTAATAAATCATTATTATTAATATTACGCACTTTGTCCGGGTTGCTATTATACTATTAAAAAATGTTATATAATTTGGATGCTTTTTGGGAAAATTTGGATGGCTATGATGAAAACTCAAGGAGGATTCATAATCCACAAGTCAGGAGTTTTATTTTATAAAATTTAAATTGTGTTTACTAAGCACAATTTTAAGGTGATGCCATCAAATAATAATAATATTAATAATAATAATAATATCATTACTTAGTCTTAGTACCCGTAATGATAGAAGTCTTCCCTAAATGCCGGTCATTTCCGGGTCAGTGGTGGGTCTTAATATAGGTTTTATTTTCCCAACAGACACAAGGTCCATATAGAGATAGAAATCATACATTGATAACTAATGGCAAAAAAAAATTAATAGAAAAAATAATTAAATCTAATAATAATAATTAAAAAAAAAAACAACATAAACATAATTTTCAACCTCATAACAACTAAACAAAATATACTATTAACATTGCATGTAGTAGTCAAGTAATTGATCCTTATCCTTACGTTTGCTCAAATCATCATGAAAAATGTCAATTTTATTTTGAATACAATTCCATAATTTGAAACAATTTAACATTGGCGAGTTGTAATGGTGAAAAGTGTTTGGTATGTTATAGAAGAAGGTAAGTGGCGATCTGCTTACAGCCCTAGAGACAACTATTTTTATTTGATTAAGTAAATATTCACTCCTAATTGAGCCATTAACTATTTTTTTGAATGAACACTAAACTAACCACATTTCTTCTTCAAATTGTTGGTATGGATGATTACATAAATTTTGGTTGCGTCTACATGATATTGCTAACATACATAAAATTTTCTATCGATCTGCTATTTTCAGAAATTATTTGTTTTATAAAAATCGACACAGACGACAAATAGACAGCCAGACGGAAACGGGAAACCTATTCTTTCGTGGTCTAGGGGTCATAAAACGTCGATAAAACATTAAAGTTCCAATTAATCGAATGGACTCTACTACAATACCTACTTTCTTCCATAGCTGACGATAGCAAATTATTTTTATTTGAAATATTATTAGGTTGTAACTTTTCTTGTACATATTCACTGAATACCGTAATTTCTAATAATTCTGTTTTGCTACGTAACCTTCTACATTTTTGTTGATTTATTGTTATCATTGAAGTGAAACCATTTGTCGAGTTAAATTTGCAAAAATGCTGTGTACTTCCATCCGATTTTAATGTTTTCATTGTGCCAACGCACAGTACAACAATGATCGATATGTATTTATTTTGTTGTTAATAAATGAGCCCTGCGGGGAATAAATTGCGTTTTCTTGTATTTATTGCTGCTTTTTTCATGAACACATGTGAACGACGACCTTATTACCTGATATAAATGTACGTTTTTGTAAAGCGTCGATGGTTTTTGCTGCATTAAAGAAGGTAGGTATTAATTACACATTGGCGGGTAGCAATTTTCATAGTCCATGCATTTTCAATTTAATTCTGAACAATAGATATTTGAACAAACAAAGTATTACACTAATAATGAGTTCTATTATCAGGTAAAATTTTTTGCATTGAATGTTTTTGAAAGAACCACAATTGAAGATGTATTTTATGGTTACAGTTCGTTTAAATATTTATAGAAAATATATACTAATTACCTATAATACATTACAATCGTAAACTTGCATAAAACCCAAAGATAACGTTTATGTAATAACAATTCTAAAGAAATTACCGAATGTGATTGAGGTGTATTGTTGGTTGCAAGCGCACATACAACGAAAATCTAAAGATATAATAATAATATATTTTTACAAAACAACATAGTTAAAAATAAATACATATAATCGTAAAAAAAATACTAAAATTAATTATTAACCATTTTAATCATTTTCAACGATTTCCTATTTTAGTACACTTCAGTTCCACCGGATCTATATACACATATCTGGGTTTTCACAAATTTAAAGAAACTTTTAGATTCCCGATATTACAGATTACTACACACAAAAACAAAATAACACTTTCTATCAATTTTCAAAATTGAGAAATACCCACGAATGTAAATTTCAAAATTTTCCACGGCTACTATTAGCAATTCTAATTTATTAATAATAATAAACAACAACCAATTTGTTAATATGTCTTCAACAAATTTAGGAAGATAAAATAGATATACCTAAGTAGGTACATGAAAAAATAATATTGTACTAACATAAAAAGAATTATATGTAACTTGTAAATAAACAGGATCCTCAAAAATGACAACCAGGAATATCCAAATTTCAAAATTTAACAGTACACAAAATAGGAATGTAGTTTTAAAACTACATCGCCATTTTGTTACAACCAAAAATTTTCACGCTGAGTATTTTTTTGAATCGTAAGAACTGACAAAATAAAAGAAGACGTTTATAGATTTTAAATATTATATTGTACATCGTTCATGTTTTTTACAATACAGTTTTAAATTAAAATTACACTTTGATAATTACATATTTACAAAATTTTACAAATCACCAATCATATCCATAATAACCACCGTAACCGCCGTAACCACCGTAACCATGATATCCACCATAATAAGGATAAGAACCACCATAGTACCCGTGTCCTATCCCGTACGAAACTTTGCTGACCACAGGTGTGTAATACGTGGAATAGTATGGATAATGCCCTCCATAGTACCCTCCATATCCCCCATATCCTCCTCCATATCCTCCATAACCCAGTCCATATCCTCCGTATCCGTAGCCTATCGCTCCCCTTTTGGCAGGTTTCTTGACTTCCTCTTCAGCCAAAACTGCAGCAGAGACTACTAAAAGGAAGATCTGAAACACACACTTGGCAACGATAGTTAAATGAAATCACATCGCTCACCAGGTATTTCATGATGGTTTGTTGTTTTGTTGGTCGGTAAGTTGTGTATGCAAAGCGAAGACATTTTGGACATATTTATATGCCTCAGTTCGAAGAAGGGGCACTCAACATCGCAACCCCTTCCAAGGTAAAGTTGCAACACCTCTAAGGTTAAAAGGAAGTTTTTATTTATTGTTTCGCAGGCATATGCGTGTCGTTATTGAAATAATTACACATCTCGATGCCCCGTTTTTGACGATGTGGTCTCTTAATACCATGTCAGCGCCCATTTTTCACGTGGCTCAAAAACCTCTCCATCATCTTAATAAGTTAATCAATAATAATCGGGATTAATGGACTGTGACGTCTTGACGCAATTTTTCCACGCATGTTTGTCCACCAAGGTTTCGAGTTTTCGGTGATATTGACACTGATAGTGGTTTTTTCTGATAATTCTGGAAAAGTATGCAAAATTACCATACAGTTTAAATGAAAGAGTACAGTCATAATTCACTCGAACACGTCAGTGTCAAATTAGTTTTCTTAAGTTGTGAAATAACAGGGAAGGTTGTGTGTACGTTATTAGCTCACGTATCCACCGGAACAACAGAAAAAAACAAAACATTGATTTTTCTATTAAAGCACACGTGGCGACTTGGCATTAAAATACCATTATTACGGCCGCAAAATTACCATTGTTAAGTGAATCTCTATGCTATCTTGAACTCGCATAAAAAAGCTGGACCTACATTTGGAATATTACGCTGAATAATAAAAAAAGTGAAAAAATAAATGTTACAAGGCAATTATGTGCTCTAGTCACATTACAAAAACAAACAATACGAAAGATAATAACGAACAAAAAGAATTCTTAGATATGCAACAGAAAAAAATATTTTCATAACAAAAACCGCAGGAATTTCTTAAGATACGTATCAACGGTGTTTTATTTACTTATCAATAAGCAGATTTTCTTTAGAATATTCTTTAAATTCAAGGATAATTTTAATTAATAATAAAATTTATTTTAAATAAATGTTTAGTAAAAGTGTTGTTATTGGGAAAAATTTTCGCAACTATAACAATATGATTATTAATTATTTTTGCTTGTTATTTTGGTGAACTTGAGAATTTCTGCGTGATGCTAATTTAATTATAAAATTATATGCCTAGGTAACTTAATTAAGTTTGACTGTGATTTTCGCCACTCATTTTTGCAATGATGTTTACAATAATTTATGGAAATTTATTTACGATGTATTTAACTTAAGTCGCGCTTGAAAATAATTCGACTTGTGGCATGGAAACGAAAAACTCATCAAATTATTGATGACAGTTTCTCCTATTTTCTTAACATCAGTGACACTAGTACTAACTTTAAATTTAAACGCCCCGGGAAAACAGTCACATAACTTCATAATTTCAAAATAATTTAATACAATTAATTTTAAGTAACATATAGTTAACGCTAAAGTTTTTTAATTTGCACCATATTTGTACGTAATAGTTTGTTAAACATTACACTTTCTACCCGAAACAAGTTAAAATCCGTTTCAAATCATTCGGTAAACCTTGAATTTGAAATTTTCCCTACAACGTATTATTTTTCCTTTAAAACTCTAATTACTAATGTTTTGGAATAAACATCAGAGTAAAATTTAAGCAAATAATACATCCTATCAGAAAAAGTACTGCAACAAAATTCAAAGATGGATTTGAAATAAAATTTAGAAGAAAATGCATGTGATCATTTTAACATAAAGCCTCAATTTTATCCAAAACAAATAACTCAAATAATATTACGTGTACATTGTTTTATTTATTTCTCGTGCAAATAATACTTTTAAAAACGAAATCGTGTCTAAGAGGCCAGTTTATCAATAGTAGGTTACCGCTAATAGTGAATAACTGTCGGTAGATTGTTAATAGCCATTAGGAAAATATTTCTTAATAATTTTGGCGATAGCAATCTATTTTATTTAGCCGACAAAGCACGTTTTCGTTGACAAGAACACTTTTAATATAATAATCTATACTAATCAAAATTATTTTAAGTTTAAAAACCATTTGTTCAAAAAAAAATATGGGGAAGAAGTTCTTGGGAGAATTCCATGTAAATTTTTATTTGATACTGTTAATACAGAGGGTATTTATTTTTTAATTTCCTTCCACATTCTTCTTGTTAAATACAACTCTTTTGGATTTTTTGGGAAATTTTAAAAGATTAAATTAAAATATGTTGTTTAAGCAAAAGAGCTAGACTCCTTTGAGATTTAAAACTAACAAATGTTCCCAAAACAGTGAATCTTACGTTACGAATTTTACATTAATCAGATATGTTGTTAACGCTAGCTAAATCAGTATCAACTGTCTGCATGATTTTTTCCATTGTATGTTTTTCCACCTACTGCCGTAATAATTCAGATTAACATCTTCTTCGGCAAAACAATATGTTACAAATTTTAACTTTGCGTATTTCTAAAATTGTCAAACCAAACAGTTCAATTTAAAATTGTTAATTTTAAATTTAAAAAAAGAAACTGATTTTTAAAAAATATTCATGATATCATGCTTTGTCCTACCAAAAGGTCGCTGATCATTAGAAAACAAATATTCCAGTATTTCTGATGAAAGTTTTTTGGATTTACTTTTTTTTGAAAAAAAAATTGTCACATTTAATAGATTACTTTAGTAGCACTTCGTAGATTTCGACGAAAGCCTTAGTGGCTAAAGTTAATTGGTTAAGGCTCAACATGCGATAATTTTTACAAGTGCGTGACAGTATGATGTAGGAAAGCTGCTTGGGAAGATCTCTTCGACTGTAAGAGTAAAGAATAAAACTTATTTCAATACGCCACATTCCTTATATACTACATTTATTGAATTTTTATGAGGGATCCGCTGTAAAATGCTTATAAAGTCAAAGTCATAAACGCACTAAACTTTCTGCATACTTTATGCATTTTTTCGATAAGTATATATATTTTATAAGTGGAACAGTTATTTTCTTTCCGCTTCATGGCGTTAATCCTTGTGTAAAAACTGGTAAAACCTTAAACCCGTTTTTGGTTACAGAATACAAATAAAGGTTCCGTCGTCCATCTTAAAGTGTAATCTTGTTTTAAGCAACACTCTGAAATATTTTGCATCATTATTTTAGAACCAAATATTTCAAAAATGCTTCAAAAAATATTTTTCTCACACCTGTACAATCGCGTGAAAAATTTGATGTAAAGGCAAATGAAACTGAAACAATGCAAATCGTTGTTACGTATATGGAAAAAACTAAGGTTCTATCAACTTTCTAGTCAAAACGTATCCTGTACCAAAGTGTTCTAAGAACATATTAGATACTGAAAATAGAAGTACTTATATGAAATTCATACGTTAATAAAAATTTTAAAATTTAGTAAACTGCTCGTTAGAATTCTAAAAATTGGTCTAAAGTTTTTGAGACAGAACTTCCGCCGCCTCTGAACTACAGACAAATAAATACAGATTTTTCGAAAAATTGTAAAATTTAATTTTGCGAATTTTATTTTTTTAGGACAACCCCTATAAATTAAAAAAATATAGCTGTGGATTGTTAAAGTACATTTAACAAACACAAATAGAGACTGAATAATAATATTTTATATATTTTATGTAGGATTTATTCGTCATCAGTTTTTTTTTTATATAGAGAATAAACGGATAAATTTTCATTAACGATTTACATTACATACTTATAATGCCCTTAAAACGTTTCAAGATTTCAAAGTATCCGATTTTTCAGTTTCAAAATTAAAGTGCAAAATATGTTGTTATCAAATTTTGATTACTTTTTTTAATCTGGATGTCTATGGTAAAAATTCAACACGATTTCATAAACCACAAGTGAAGGATTATATTATTTTCTAACATTTAAGTAACATTTACTATTACAAATTTTAGTCCAGTAGTTTCAGAGATAATCTGTCTAATAAAAATCGACACAGCAGAGAGACGATCAATAGATGACGGACAGACGAGGGACAGACGATGGACAGACGAAAACGCGAAATCTGCTGCTTTGTATACAAAGGTTCTTGAAACGTCAAAAAACATGAAAGTAGCGATTCGTCAAATGAACCCTATTACATACTTCCTTCACTTACGCTCTGGAAGTAAAAATTTCAAATATCTAAAAGTTGAACAGTAAAAATACGTTAACAATATATTTGAAACAATAAAAGCTGGAGTATATGTAATTATGTAGTCTGCATATCATTAATTATTATTATTAATCTCGAAAGGAAATTCTTTAGAATCTGTGCGAACTAAAGTAATTAACAACGCTGATTTTTTTTGGCGATTTTACATATTTCATTTTTTTTATATATTAAAACTAAAACTAAATATTTGAGATTAATTGCATATTTTTACATATTTTTGCATATTATTATACCTTGCATATTATACAGGAATACTTGTCCTTATTTCTTTCCTACCACAACACGTAATCACTTGGTTGAAGCTGTTATACTGATAATCTTGAGTCTAAACAAAATAAAATTTAGAGTTTGAATTAAAAAAAGGGTACAATTTCAAAATGTTAATGAATAATTTCGGGTCTTATGACTTCAATTTTTTTTTAACAATTTATTAATGTTTTCTCAAAATAATTCGACACGTTCGCTAAAAAGGTTTTTGATTTTCTGGAAAAAAAAAAATCTTAAATTATGACAGATTTTCATGAAGATTGGTGTGTATAAACCCGGAATCTAGCTACAAGAATCCATATTTCGTTAACATGGTGATGATTTTATTAAATGCAGCAAACAATATAATAGTGTGTGTTGTAGGTAGCTCATAAATCACGCGAGAAAAAGTTTAGTCACGAGTGACGATGGAGCGAGTGACTAATTTTCTTAAGTGATTTAAAGCCATAACACACGAATTTAGTATAAAATTGTATCCAACACATAAGCAATACTCCTTAAATATATATTTTTTTATATAATTTTGACAATTTTCGTTACAATTAAATTATTTTGAATAATAATAATTAATAACTCACTTTCTGAATTATAACTAATAATGTACGTAGTAAATAAAATTTGTATGATTTACTAAAACAAAAATGAGAAAAAATTAAGCACCTATTTTGACATAATATGTTTGCATATCTTGTTGATTATTTAGTCAAAGTACTTACTTGGCAAATGTTCATTTATAAAAATCTATTTTGTACTTTCTTCCACACAGTTGGAAGAATATAAATAGTTTAAAAATGTATGTGGATAAAGTGAAAATTTAATTTCTCATTATAAGTATAACAGTTGAATACAGGAATGTATCGGAAAAGTTATTAAAATATGATCAAATTTTAGATTAACTTCAGATAAATGGCTGATTCCTTCCATCAAAATCTCGTACGCTAAAGCAGTAAGCAAAGGAATTTCATTGAATTCCACATAAATTTAATATAAATCAATAGACAGATAATCTGAAGGCAACTCAGCTAAATTGTACGACGAATTCAGATCCTTATCATTTAGATCTCCTTTCGTAAGTCTGAAATTTTCAAACATTTTGCTTATAACCGAAACAATAAGAAAACTGCCGTCTCTGGTGTTACACGCAAAAAAATGTAGTCAGTTAGTGACATTGTAAAGTACTCACTATAAAATTAAAGGTAAATGCATACACAATGATATACAAAATTACTCCATTTATTATCATTTTCCTAGAATAGAAATAAATAAATAAATAAATAAATAGACCTAAGAACTAAATCTCTAAAAATCAAGAACGACATGAAATCCATGTCCAGCTCCTTGTCCTCCCACGTCGAGCCCAATCCCAAACCCGCCTAAATGGTGCCTGTACGGACTGTAGACAGCAGGATGAACAAAGACCGTCTCCACCGTTCGTGCCAGAAGAAGGGCCTGTGTGGGAAGGTAAAGATGGTGTAAATGAGCCGGGATGTAAGAGTGGTGACGCACGTGTCCCGGTATCCATTTGTGGCTATGTGCTCCCATGATCACTGGGGAAATTCCTGTCTTGTGCGATACATTGTGCAAAAGATGCGGTTTCTCGGTGAATGTCACTAAACCCACTTGGAGGGGTGAGCGCTTGGCGATCTCACCACTGGCGAAGAACAACAACAAAATCTGCAAAACTACTGTTATTAGTATCGATAATTAATGTTAATGAGACACGAAATACGTGATGGGGATTATTCGTGTAATTAGTTTCATAATTTGATATTGCACAACAATGGAAGGCCTCCGATATTACCTACTTAACGAAAATACAAAAGATGTGTTGTGGGTTGTTGGTTGGTAGTTTGTTGTTTACTCGCATTGTTTTACTAGCAATGACATTATTTAAGGTACAATAATTTTGACCATTAGCACAAAAAGCTATTGTTTGGGCGGAAAGGACGCGAAATGAGGAGTTTTCCGCCGTAACGATTTTCCACTTGCGTAACAGTTTAAACTAATTCAAACTAATAGCTGGATTAGTGAATAAATTACAGGTTATTAAGTATCGACTGGTATGTTAAAGGTTTAGAAGTCAACTAGGTCACGGTTTGTGTACCTCAAAGTCCCGATCAAAATCGTTCGCGGATTTTCCTAAAGCTATTGTATTAATTATAAGCCGCCAACAATTATCTTAATTAAATTATGCAAATTAATAATCTAAGCAACCACTACCTGTATGATCACCGTACGCATATTGCCAAGAACTGTGCCACTTTCTTCGACCAATCTTGACGCCAACTGAATTATCGCAAATAGCTAATATGCTAATACAACTCGAAACGAAACCACATCATTAATTCATAGCCGCAACCATCCAGAATACTTACCAGTACCAGTGTTCAAATATTTTACATTCCAAACCGCTGCCAGAATTTAAACGCACGCTTATTTGAATCTCGCGCTGATGATTACCAACCATCGATTACGAAAACCCTAGCATCACATTCTCCTGACATTAATTTTTGTAGGTTATGTGATTAAAAGTGAGTTGTTTGAGTTATTGCAACATCTAAGTGGGTACGTTGATTGAATAAAGTGATTAATGACCTCCTTACTATCACTTACAGGAGAAATGAATTTTCTGAAAGAAATTGTTCGAAAGGTATCACACACATACATTCGTTTGCCCCAACAAATTCTCTCGCCACCGCCAATCTGTGATATCACAAACAAGTTATCATGTATGACTATTCAGGGTAAGTTCTTTTTTAAGAGGATTCTCAAGAATTGTGTTGAGGTTAATTCTTGCAAAATTTGAACCGGATAGGCAACCAAATATACACGCGAAGACAGCGGTTGTGGTAATATCGATCGCAAGGAAATATGTAAGGGTTGCTGTCAAGTAGTCCCTACTGATTTTTTCCGGTTAATAAAAATCCAGCTTTGCGTGAAACGCTGCCAATCGTGAGAAAGAGCATGTTGAGAATTTTGCTTTGAATTATTTATCTTTGGGTCCCTACATTTGTACCAGAGAAAATTGCGAAAGTTTGTGGAGAGTGACTGTAATATTTTCATATGAGTAAACACACAATTTAAATGAACGCGCTCGCGAGGGTTGCACAAGTTTTCAGACTTTTAACTCACACGTTTCACAGGAACAACAACGTTTGTCAAATTTTGACTCAAACAATGGTAATTTTATAAAGTGGAATAATTGCCTCTACATTTTTAAAAATAAAAGGAAAACATTAGCGCACTACCTTATAAATATCCCATCTATTGGCGGTTTTCTTTAAAACTGGTCTTAAACTATAATTTTAGTGTATTTAACCATTTTACCAGTATATAAATCAGAACACATCTGAGTAATTATAAAAAGAATAAAATAACAAGTTAATATATTGGGTGTTCCATCACAATACCTAATCATTATTTCAAAACTACTACCTGTGCAATTCAAGCTATAAAAAAATTACAAAGTCAAACACACTATCGGTTTTCAATTTCGTGGCAAATGTAGATACAAATTTTAAATACATATATCTTCCCTTCCAACATTATGCAAATTCTTTGCTCATCTAGTTCTACAAATTTTTTCGAGTTAATACTTGTGTTTATTTGGAAACCTATATCATAGAAGACACGTCATTTAACTAATTAAAATAGTTAAACTATTTTTTTTTTGCCAAACTAAGCATTTGCACAAAAATCAAATGTGTTATTTATAATATTGGAATTGTGTACTTTACGACTGTATAAATCATTTTACGAAAGACCATTGGCACCTGAAGTAAGGAATGATCAAATAAGGCAGTAACATCCTCTGCAATAGTAGCTACATGTCTTCCATTTTTTTTAAATCGATTATATAACCTCTAATGAACAAAGTGCAAGTGGACATCAAACCACTGTCTGTATTTCCACAGTGGGAGAACTGGTACGGTCGAAAAGCGCAACCACCATATTGAATTGTCAATTCTTTTAAAATCATTAAAATGGTATACATGTAATTTGTTTTTTTATTAAGAAAGTAGTTGGCAAAATTTGTGTAAAGCAACCTCTTTAGATCTGGGTTTCGTGACTAACAATGATAATTTTGGATTTTTAATTATGAACATCTTATTCAAAAATTAATTTCAGTATGAATGAACCTTTGACAATGATGATGATCCAAAACATTTTGGTACTTCCTGGAGCGTGGCTCAAGTAAACTATTCGACGAAAGCTACTATTGTCCAGACTCATCACAGTTTTAACAATTTGTGAGCAGTCACATTGTGTCGGTCATCCGTCGAATAACGAGAAAACTTTCGACCAACTTACATAACGTGTGTGGCCGAAATGACCACTGACCAGTAGTTACGACAAATCTTAATCCCTATTGGCATATTTCCCATTTCCTAGTGTAATACAGCGTGAATGTGAGCAATGCATTGTGGTTTGTGCTATTCATCTGTCAATGGACAATGTCCGAGATGCGTCACCTGCCACCGGGACCCAAAGGGTAAAGTGTGGGAGGATTAATATGAGGGCCGGACTACCGGTTTATGTCAAACATTGCAACATATGTTTACAACAAAATTACTAAAACGAAAAAAAAGCAACGCATCTAATCTTTTATTCAATTCCTTCTATTTCTATCCCTTTTCTTTGTCTTTATCTTTGTTTCTTTATCTTTATTTTACAAAGTACATATATGCTTGGGACAGTTAGATATTTAATTACAACGCAGTCGACATCACCTTCTTTAATTCTGTCCACCTTCTAATTCTGAATTTTAACTAATCCACCTACGGTAGTCCGGCCCTGCGTAGGTCAGTCAACACCACAACCGCAGCGCTTGTTATATAGCGTGTTGTGATCCTAATCTCGAGGATTTTGCTTATTACATTTGACCACTTCATAGATATGTCAGCTTCGTTCAGCTGCAAAAGATAAGGATTTCAGTTATAATTTTCTTTCAGAGCGATACTCATCATCCCTGTACAGAATGCACAAAACAGGCCCGCATATCAAACCGCGAAATCCTAAACGTCCTTTGGATGGAAATCCATTCATGAAAGGAGTGGTGTTGAAGACGCTAATCAAGAAACCGAAGAAACCAAATTCGGCCAACCGGAAATGCGTTTTGGTTAGGTTATCCAATGGAAAAGAGATGGTGTCGTATATTCCTGGGATCGGACATAATTTACAGGAACATAATATCGTCCTGTGTCGTGTAGGAAGGGTCCAGGATTGCCCTGGGGTTAAACTGAAGTGTGTGAGAGGAAAATATGATTTAGGACATGTAATTAAAAAATAAAATTAAGTTTGCAGTAGCGGGTATGCCTGTGTTTTATTAAAACTGTAATATAAAACATGGATGTAATTTCTCTTAAAATTAAAGTTACATTCCATTTATGAAATTAAAGGAAGAAGTTACATAATTACGTGCCTGAGAACATCTGTAGCCAGTTTCAAATAATCCCTTTTATCCGCATCAGACAAGACTCATTTTTAAAGCGGACAATAAGATAAGTACTTTTCTAATGATGATGTGACAAGTACAAAACATTCATGGCTTCTGCTAAATGTAGACCTATATCTAAACCAAATTCAACCGTAGTTGGAAAAAAATTACACTTCACGTTGTCAAGTTTGATAACTAAATTATTGTTATGCACCTAACAAGTAACGTAATTTTGAAACAAACCAACCGGACATGCTTATACTTTTTTTTTTAATTGTCACCCTTTCTCAACCACGAATAGAATTATAGTCGCCATTTTGTACCACATCATAAATTTACTAACGTGAAAGACAGTAAGTATTTGGTAAAAAAAATGTATCGAAAATTATTTCGACAGAAGTTCCCTTCGCTCTTGAACTATAACAACAAATTCCTCTTCCTTAAAAAGTCATAAAATTTGATTTTGCGATTTTCATTTTTGTGATAATCTCTATAAAGTAAAAACTAACGGAATAAATAACACTCCCCCCCCCTCCCCCCGCAGCCCCTGCGGCAAGAATTTGTAAAATTGAAATGTCAAATATATCTATTTAAAGCAGACAACCAGCTGGAAAAATCCTCTCAGCACTAATAACAAGCTTCCGTTCAAGTGTTTATGTTTATACATCCAAAGAATGTCACGTAGAAAATAAAGTAGTGCAAGAGCTATAAGATTACACAATCCTCATTTGACATACACCTGTTAAAACTTTATGACTTTAGCGGCTTAAGCCAAAACACCCTTATAAGTCAAACCGGCTATTGTAAGCTTTCTGGACCCGAACCGTAAGATTATTACTGTCCATTGTTGGCATAATGTAGCTGTGAACTGAGTTAAGTAATACAATAGTCAGTTTGACTTATAAGGGTGGTTTGACTTAAGCCACTTAAGTCATAAGAGTTTTAACAAGTCTATGTCAAATGAGGTTACTTTATATGACCATCATAAAAGTAGTTGACCGCAAATAAATACCCCCTTTGTGTGGTTCGTACTAAGGTTACCGGTTGGCAACCTTAGTACGAACTTCTCTAAACATTTCTTCCTTAGATTTAGATATTTAGTGAGAGTTGCCCCTGGACGAAACGACAACAGCCGGTCGAGCTGCAGTAGACACGTTATTTACGACCCTAAAACCCTTTCTATTGTAAACAACTTAACTTCGACACATTGGGATAACTTTATGATGACCATATAACCTTATAGCGCTCGGACTACTATACTTAGTTTGATTTGAATGCGTATGTCTCCTCATAACCCAGGACCCGTGCCCAGGACTAAAATTATTAATTAAGCCACATTCCAACAAATTAATCATTATTAAATAAAGACGTGCGCATGCTCACATTTTCGAGAAAATGGGGTGACTCGTTCTTAATTTGATTAATAAAATCTTTGTGGTGACGTAATCAACATAGATAATACTAATCATAGCACAAAAGGAAAAATTAGTTTGGCGTCGAACGTGCGACCACCGGTTCGCATGCCGCTACCTCATGAACATGAATTTGGACGTTAAGGGAAAAAATTCAAAGCTGTTTCGTACATCACAAGCACAGAAGTATATTGTTGTGTAACATCTAAATCAGTTCAAAATAGAATTCTTTGAGATGACGTCATCAAATTGTTGGTGAGGATAAAATAAAAATATTTGCAAGAACCGTAGCTGTATTAGGAAAAAAAAACTTGAAAAATAAAGAACAGTTATATAAACAGGAAATCCATTTTTCAATTTGTTGAAATCGGTTCTCCAGCTATAGTTTTGGAAATTTCTTTCTACCCTATAAAATTTTATTGTCAATAACGAGACGGACAGTAGTACAAGCAAGAGATATTTACAACTTGAAGTTGTCGCGTGCCGGTAATCCCCACATGTTAGAACGCAGAATAATCCAGGTCCGGACAGGGCCCATCGTTACTCACGAACGAAAATAAGCATTATTTTATGAGTACAACTACCTGCTAAATGTTCTACGACAAATTCGGGTGAACTGGTGTGAACAGCGTAGAAAGAGATTTCCAAAACCATACCTGCTACAGTGTTAAAATTATTTCGACAAAGTCAAAAGCGTAAAAATCGAATACAAACGTGAATTTTTAAATTTTGCTAATTTTGTTTTTCTTTTCGAAAAAGTTTGTTTCTTTGAAATGAATCTTGGTATTTTCGAGGAAGGGTTGCCTTTATCCATTTGTAATCCCTGAGCATGGTTCCTGAAGTGAGTAATGACCATTTTTACCTGTCTTCTGACGCCTAGTCAGTTCTGTGCCTACCTTGAGTGAAAATAATAATTTCTTTCAGTTGTGTTGTCCTTCTTGTAGGAAGGAAGGAAGAAAACTGTGGCTATCTGGCATCCTGCTGTGCATAATTGTATATCGTGATATCAAACAATCCAGGAAATTCGTACTAGTTCAGATGCCAAAATGACTCCAGTTTAGGTATGTACAAAAATACATTTTTCAAATGAGACTTTTTGCCATTTCTTGCCTGTGGACCTCAATTGTAACGTTAACCAATAGGGATCATTTTACAATCGTCACTAGCCCTACTATTGTGCAGTCTAACCCCTCTTAATTAGGTACGTCATACAATTTTAATGGATACGAAAATAACGTACAAATTTGGATTGGTATATGCGTTTTGCTGGCCAAAACTGAAGTAAGTTTGCAATAGTGCGTCACACTTGAAATATATAAGTACTTCATAATAAAAAAAAAATAGTTCAAGGTCCCAAATACTGGAAAACATCCTTCAGAAAGCAAATCTAAATCCAGATCTGAATCTAGCTTCACCCATTATTTTACATCACAAAAACAAAACTTTATAAAAACATAGTGTGGAAAAAATCTAAGTACTTTTTTAAAATCATATGAACATTATTCCATAAATTTTGTTAAAAATGAAAATAAGAATAATGCGCACGAAAGATTAAATACTAGTGTTATTATTGTTGTGATGCAATAGTTTTTTTTTAATTTTGAATGCAAGGTAGTTAAATTCCTTAATTTAAATAAAATATATATTTAAAGAACATCAGTTTTTCTTTCGATATGCCATATTAAATAAATACACGGAACATTAGACATCAAAAGAATCAATAACTGTCAAAATTTAAAAAAAAACTGTCATGTCATATTTTTCGTAAGTTTCTCGAACAGTCAGGTTCAAAATAGTAATTATAAAATCGTGGCACAAACACTGATAAGCGAATTACAGGGGTGTCCAATATGGTATGTCCGTGCACGCCCTCATCCCCTAAAATTTGAATTTTTTTCAAACCATAATTTGTTATAAATTCTAAAGATCTTCCACACTGAATTTCATCGTGGCACAAACACTGATAAGGGTATTACAGGGGTGCCATATATGGTAAGTCCGTGCACACCCTCACCTTTCAAAATTTGAATTTTTTTTCAACCATAATTCGTATAAATTTTAAAGATCTTCCACACTGAATTTCATCGTGGCACAAACACTGATAAGCGAATTACAGGAATACCCTATATGTATGGTATGTCCGTGTACACCCTCATCCCCTAAAATTTGAATTTTTTTTCAAACCATAATTCGTTATAAATTCTAAAAATCTCCCACACTGAATTTCATCGTGGCACAAACACTGATAAGCGAATTACAGGGGTGCCCTATATGTATTTCTGTGTGTGCCGCCTGCATGAAATTACGGTTCGAACTAAAATCATTGCTGGTAAATCGTTGCTGTCTTCACACCGGTCAACTCGCTGAACAATTTCTCCAAAAATATGAATGCATCGATTAAGCCCAAGGCTATGCTTATGTTTTTAGTGAGTTTTTCCATTGGAAAATGTTCAGATTAACATTTCAGCAACGATACGTGCAGCGTAATACTAAAAATTAAAAAATGGTGTGCCCTTCATTAAAAACATAAATACCACCGGAGATCGGAGAAACAATAAAAAATTATAATAATATGAAAAAAAATTGGTCGAAGATTATTTCAACACAACTTCCCTCGCACCTGAAGTACAATAAAATATGTCAAGCTTTTTCCAAAAATTATAAAATTCGATTTTGCGAATTTTACTTATACATGTTATGAGAACCACTATATGTTAATATAAAGATATGTTTGTAATGTAAAAAAGTGTGCTACGCGTATATTTCAAATGAGTTTTTCCTTTACAAAATTTTACGATGACATCAACAACATTTTTTGCAAGGACACGTATATCAATTTTGATAGATGCGATGTAATAATAATAATAATAATATTGTATTCCCAAATTTTCCAAAAAATGGAGTGAGCCGTTATTGATTTAATTAATAGAGTTATCCTGTATAAACAATTCGAAAAATATTAATGCAATGATAAATCACGAGTATAACTAAAATTCTGAGATGACGCCATCAACTTTTGGGAGAACAATAAATAGGTGTAGTTTGATTAAAAATTTACTGAGTTTACGATAACTTTAAAACGTCTGCAAGATTTCAAAGCATTGGGTTGCAGATTCAAAATTAAATTACAAAATGTTGTTATATGGTTTTAATTTTTTTTTCTCCAAAAATTTGGATGCTTCGAGTAAAAACCCAAGATAGATTCATAAAATACATTTGTAGGAGTATGTTATTGTCTACAATTTAAAAACCATTTGCTACAGACAATTTTGAGGTGACGTGATCACATTATTGGTGGTAGTATTGCAGATTATTTGTCTAAAAAAATTCGCAGACGCCGGAGAGATAGACAGTCAGATGGAAACGGAGTCATGATACATCGAGAAAACATGAAAGTAGCAATACCCGATGGACTCGATTACAATACTTAGCTTATGTTCGGGAAGTAAAATTAAAGCAAGTTTATAAAGCACAAGTACAAAATACATATATATTATTTTATAAAACTGAAATGGCATTTACTGAGAAAAATTTTAAGATGACGTCATTATAGTTGGGTGGGAATAATCAAACAAATTTTGGTTAGCGTTTTCCCATATACACGATATTCCTAACAAATAAAATTTGACCACAATCGTTTCAACAGTTTCGGAAATTATCCGTCTAATAGATCGGCACAGACAGACAGACATACTGACAGCCAGACGGAAATAGGACACCTATTTTTTCGTACTCTATGAATCATGAAACGTCTAAAAAACATGAAATTAGCCAAACCCAGATGGACCCTATTACAATAGTTCAATACTTACTAGCTTACTCTTGAGTCTCGACCCGTAAAAAGGGATGAACGGCACGTGATCTGTTTTCTATTGGTCAATGGAGTTGTGTTTCGGTTCCTACAGAAATTCGATTGAAGAAACCCCGGATGTGAACACCCACACTTCACGTGATCACTAACTTTTGCGTTTGAATGAAGTATAGTGACGGTCCTTCAGAAATCGTATGGTTTCGCAATTTTTTTTTTTTTATTGAACCATAACAAGAAACTTAACATGTTTATAAGTAAACTATGAGCTACTTCAGAATTAAAAAGTTAAAATCATTCAATTCCATAAAAAATATGACGTTTTATCATCGCCATAACAGCTGATATGTCTCTTTAATGGGAAAAAAATAATTTATTGTTGAAGCTGTTAACTGTTTTCGAGTTGAAAGCTTCAGGAATTATAGTTTTTTCCTGTATTTTTCTAAGTTACGATGTTTTTTCGACTTTAATATTAAATTTTTACTGTAGAGCTAGTAGATTTTGTCATTATCATTTCATAGTTACAACGATCTTACGAACGTTGTGAATACATATCTCCATATCTGACATTAATCTGACATTCATCAAACTACTTAGCAGTCACCAGTCACTTAAAAATGTTATATTAGTGAGTTTGTAAAAGTTACCATATAGATTAACGGTTGACAAGAATTCGTGGATTTTTAGTGCTCATTCACATGCACAAATTTTTAGCAACTATCCGTTAATTTGAAACAAATTTATCAATGTAATAAGAATATAAATTGTTTCTCGTTGAGAGATTTTATAATCAGTTCTCCTCAAATTCCGGTACTAATAATAATAACAATAATAATAATGACATTTAAGCATAATTTTTTGCTGCAATGCTGAATCAGTTTACACAAACAAATTAAACAAATAAAAATTCAGCGGCGGACCTGTGCTGGGATGAGCGAACAAACACGACCTCCGGGCCCTGCAATTAAAAAATAAAAACTCCACTTGTAATAGCGCCGCTTCGTCCCGTTATGTTTTATTAAAGCTCCAAGTTAGAACCTGAATATTCAAGTCATTCATCCAAAAATAACGGTTCCCTTGCAATTTTAAGCGGAAGACCTGAGCCACCCTTTGCGGTCGGTCCCAGCTACTGGACTTAGGTAAAATTTTATCGCCCCCCAATAAACGGTGAAATGTACCGTTCGAGAGATATTTTTGCAAAAATTCACCTAAACCCATTCGTTGCGGCAGATGTTTCTTATGTAGGTCAAGCGCTTTCAGTGTATTTGCGATAGAGATTAAAATATTGTGTCCATACAGTTATTCCTTCCCTGACACAGACATCCATCATAACTCTACAAAGGAAGTAAGTAAAGGCTAGTTTTAGTGTATTCACGTCAAAAACCCTTTAATAATGCGTCTATTTGTAAAGGCAAGCGGACGATGACAAGTGACAAGTAGGTAGAAGAAGTCCCACGCAACAAGATGTTGAGGTCAGTTTTTCATTTTCTTAATCGTGCGACGAACGGTTTTTGATTATGCCATCGATCATGGACGATCAAACACCCCTATCTTGATTAGGTTGGGATGCGAGAGAATCACTCTGACCACAAGCGAACAGTGTTGATGTCGCATTTGCCCTATATTATGGGAAATGTGCACAGAACAACCCCTTTAACGCGTGGCACCTGGCATTTGTTGCTTTCGCTTCCCGGTTTGACCATTTACAGTTAGATCGACCGCCCGCAGACTGTTTGCGAATATAGAGATCTTGCGATTTTCTCCCTTTTTGTTCTACCGGCATGTTTTTTCGCAAGGCCGTCTAAAATTTATGACGACTATAAAATAAGAAGAAAGTAGTCATTGTATAACAGAGAATACCTTTTTTTACTACTTTGCCAAACGGAGATACAAGAAGAACTTTAATGGCACCCTCTAAAAATTTTGTTAGCAACAATTATTCTTCCTCTTTGTTAAAATAACTCTGGAATGATTTGTTAATACCTATGTAGAGACTGGAGTTGTAGGATTCTATAAATATATATATACATCAAAATTGCAATTGCAATTGCATTGATGCTTCTCCTGCAAATTTTAGGTGTATAAATAAATACTTGACTATTTATTTATTTATTTATTGATACACTATACATATTCTCCCGCCTTCCGAAACATGGCCAGTACCTGTATATGGTTTGTGTTTTGATATTTTATTTTTCGAAACACTTGTACTTTCTATTTTTTGTACAAGATTAATAAATAAAGCAATTCTTT